GGGGAGGTCGCCAGATTCTTCCTAGCATAGTATTTCAATGAATAGAATGAAAACAAAGTCAAACTGTGTTTTATCTAAAAAGAATACACGCATACGAGCATTATAACTTTTTCATCGTCTTGAATTTATTTTGATAAAACACATGCATCGTCACTTGCAACAGATAGAGACAGGTGTCAACGCTGCATGGAGCTGAGCAGAAGAGTGAGACTGCCCAAGCAGACAAAAATTTGAAAAAACGCATGTAAACTGCCAAAAGAGTCATTTTTCGAGGGTTTTCACGCGTGTTGAAAAATATGGCCGTATAAACATTACTAATCTTAACTCCCTCGTGGTGAAAACGGTTAAACTTATCACAGCTGCTATATATAGGGAAGTAAATACTCAAATACCTTATTTTCGTATCGTTTTGACACTCATATTGTGAAACACGCCTGTATTTGAGATGAAACTTTAAAACTCAAGCGTTTTACGATCTTAAATATTTTGTAAAGTATGGAATTGAATTTAAATAACGTGAGAATGTTCGGTATGATGACTTTCAGGATGTTTAATGTTAGATAAAATAGTTCGTGTTCATATTCAGATTACCAACGTTCAAAAACGTTGATATATGAATAGTACTGTGTGTTCACACGACTGAGAGTCAGTGTCATTTATTCTTCTTGATTTTTATATGTTTAAATTATTGTAAAGTCATAATCTCCATTTATTAATGGAGAAACATGCGTTATATCAATCAAGTTTGACCGTTTTCTCATAGCAAAAAAGAGCGCACTAATTAAAGACGATGTAATCAATGTTGATCGGTTTCACACATGAAAATTTTGCTCAAATGTTGTTTTAAATCATCCAAACGTCATACCGGATGTTGTTTTTTTTTAGCAGTATTGATCTGCTAAGTGTTGAAGAAATTTTCTTCAAAAAGAGTGCGCTTTGTCAGCTCTCGTCATGATAAAAATAATACATATATATACGTAGGAGCATCGTTATTAGTTAATATCTGGCAAGTGTCGTCAAAAGAATATAGGTACCGCTAGATATTGTTAGAATATTGAGTATACATCCATACGCAAAGGGCCAATTGCCATCAAAGTGTTTACACCATACACACATTCGCAATCAGGAGTTTTGTTTCTGCTATAAGCAGACTAATTTACATGTAAATCTTAAAATTGACGGTTTTTTCTTTTAAGAGATCAACGATGTGATATATTGTGTTAAAATTTATGACAAGAAAAAGAATCGGTAAAAAAGATACTCTTGGCTTTTTTAAACAAGTAAGATAAATTATATTGTTTTGAGAAGAAGCATGATGCGGAAAAAGTTCACTAAGTACTCTCTGAAGTGTTTGGAAATTGGAAGAAATGAAACGTTTCTTGTTTACTATATGCAAGTTTTATGATAATATCATGTAGATTAATTATTTCCAGATGCGGTGGATTTGACAATTGCCCAAAGAATACATATGGATTAACAATAGTCTTTCCTTTGAATATGAAAGAATCTTGTTTCGCAACACGAACGCAATGAATTATAACAGAACATTTTTGTTTTGAATCATAAATAATTCCGACAATAAAGCCACATTTTGTGTCATTTTCTTTCTTGAACTGGACACAGGAATCACAACTTTTACTTGTTGAGGTAGATTCATAAACAGAAAATCTCACATTCTTTTTCCAGCATGTTCGATGAAAAGTAAAGTCAAAGATACCTTCGTTGTGTAAGTGTTCCATGACAAAATGATCATCTGGCAATGGAACCGTGCGTCCCACTCGCACAGTTTGCTCATGGATTGACGTGTCGTTTGGAAATGTATTTCGTTTGGAAGAAAAAATACGTTTAATAAATAATCCAAGAGACCTATTGAAACGAGTGTTTTCTAGTTCAGCGGTTGCTCCTTGCAAAATATTGAGATTATCAATCAATTCCGCGATCACTAAATTAGGTCCATTGATAGTTTGCACAATAGAACCTAAGATAACGCATATTTATTCAAAGTTGTCAAAATTAAAAATGGCGTCATTTCGACACATACCAACAGTACTTTCGAAATTAAACGTTGAATAGTTTTGTATTGGTCCGAAATCTCGTAGTGTTTCAGGTACATGAGTTACAGAATGTATCACGGATGTCACCGATTTTCTCTTAATAATATTTTTTAAAATACGAGTGTTAGTAAATTCGTCTCTCATTGGCAATTTCATTCATGCTACGCCTATGAATTGTCCAAAAACATTTCTCCTCAGACCTAATACGTAGTCAGACTTCCATTTACAACACAGTTTAAAAAAAACAATGTCTATTTCAAGTATCAATTCACTAGTTATTGGTTCGATTCGTTTTGTAGATAGATAAATATATATATCAGTGGATTCAATCCTTTGATAGAAGTGACTGACACTAGAAAACTCGAATCTAGAACTGAAATAACAGCCTTTTCAATCACACCTTGTTGTTTCATGCGGTGCGTGTACTCAAACATAATTTTTGCTGCTTCGTTTCTTTCTGTACTGCGTCTGGATATGGTATGTAACTTAAAAACTAATCATATTCACAATTCAGACATGATTTCAGTCTTTTTGAATACGTATTTCCACACAATTCATACGAAAACTATAAGTAACCGAACTGTTTGTAAAGAGAACTGAAAGGTTTGAAAATTACTCTGCTTGGTTATGCACATAACAGAGTTTCCTCATGAAATGTAAATAAAACGTGTGTGAACTCACTGGATATATAAGCGGAAACAATCGGTCAAATTCATCCAGTAAAGCTGAAATTATTTCAATCGCATCATGATGTAAAACGGATGATTCAGCTAAATTCATTGCGTATGCCAAAAGCCGAAAATGTTCATAAAATTTCGCAGGTAGAAACGGTTGAAAATATCTATAAAAATTACAAAATCAGCAATGCTTGTATAAATTGCACACCAGCCTCGTTAAAAAGATCTTCTATCAATTTTTTATCCATCGGTACTTATGTGTATATATTTTTTTAGAATTGTATGAGCACAAAGTCAAAAGCAGAAAAACTAGGAGTGCGATGCTGTTTCTATTGCATCTTACAGATAGGCTTTCAATATGTTTCCTATGCTTTGCAAATCGCCATGTTAACAAAACTGAAGAGATTTCTTTTATCGAGGAGTGCAATAACTATACTAAACCGCAATATGTAATGAATAAATAACTCACTGATAGCCAAATAGAAGTGTCATCCGAAACTCATTTCCTTTATATGTCTGATAAAAGCGCAATGGAGACGGTAAATGATATGTTGTCGACGGGTAACGTAAAGCGTTCAATTTCAATTCAATGAGGTTCACACTTTTTTGTATCGAATACGGTTGTCGACAGGTTTTGAACCATAATTCAAGTAAACGTTTCTGAAAAATAACAATTCAAGAAAGTATATGCTGGATCAATACAACGATAAATAAATACTTACAAATGTTCCCGCATATATATTATGCAATGAGTCGGAAGGAAATGACCGTCCAATCTCAAAATACGTTAAATCTCGTAAGATACACGGACCCTGCTGTCCACAGGCAAGATCTATCTCATTCGACTTTGGCTTTGACCTTCTCTGATTAAATTTAAAAAAAATGGTAGCATAGTATTCTTTCGGGAAAACTTGTAATTACTCGAGATAGGATCCGAATATGTTCATCATATAATTGGTTACTTCTCTGTTGAATATCATTTTGCGAATATTTTAGAAAAACGCGAATCGAACCATGACCACTTCGCTCCGATACTCCTGCGAAAAAAAACAAGCAATGAAAATGATTGAAATTAAGCTAACTTACCTCTAATTGTACATCTTCCACAACTGTAATAACCCACTGGATCGTTAATATTCATCAGTAAAGATTGCGCTGGCTTATCAAGCGTTGCCGCAACCAAATAGCAACAAACTTTCACAAAGCGATTGTTTGTGTTTGGGTAGGAGACATAGAAGCCGCGCTCCAATTGTCGCAATTCATAAACCCAATCATAAATAAAACTTTGAAATTGGTTCTTTTTAGGCTTCATGCTGCCTATTGATATTGAGGAAATTATTACATTTTTCATATTAAACCGAATGTCACGCGGTAGCTCATTAATAACCATACATGTTACCCATATCGAACGACTTATCTTTTTAATCATAACTCCATCACTGTTCAAAAGCAAAGTTATTATTTGTTTACTAGGATCATCTACTCGCTCTCTATCGACTATACTCCGTCGCATTGAACTGTCCTGAATATCACACATTAATGACTTATCATCATCATTGGGTTCAACCATCAATTTTTGCCGTTCTATAATGGATATAATTTGCGGAAGTAATTTGAATGTGAATAATGTCGTTGGAATCTTATTTGAGACAAAATTCAAACTGCATTTTGTATTTTCACATTTTGATGAGTTCGTTCCCTTTTCACTGCATTGCGGACACACAATATACTTTTTACTTTGCAAAACTTTGTCCTCTGTTTGCACCACATGACGTTGAATAGAGCGAAAGTCGGATGGCACATTTTGAACACCTAGACAACGTAGTAAGTCGCATAGGTCATTCATACAAGACTTAGATAGCTGATGCCGGTGTCGGAAAAGAGCAAGAGCGACTGATACTTGCTTTGTATCAGGTGAAGAAGTGTGAGAATCATGATGGAGAAGATTCGATATTAAGTCAGGTGACATTCTATCATCTTCGCTGCCGTCGTTGCCTATGTCTGGAGTGTATTTTAAAGTATTATCATCGTGGCGTTCATCTTGATTTTTGCTGATTATCGACTGTCCTTCTTTATCGTGCATGGTTATATCGCTCAAGTTCACATTTTCCAGATCAGCTCGTTCGTTGTGATTATTTGATGTACTAAATTTCTCATAGAGATATCGATTTCTACAGATATAATCAGGTACTTACTCAGGACTTTCCATATCGATTGCAGTTATCGCGGACAACAATGTATTACGCGAATGCCGTCTGCCAGCAAATCGTAGTCGTCTTGAATAGTTTTTCGCTGCATACAGTGCATTCTTATGAATTGATCTCATGTTTATAATCTGGAGCTGTAAAGAAAGTCGTACATTCACATCGATTGAACTATGTAGTTCGTCATTAAAAAAAACTCTTTTGCCTTATCAGAGATAACTCCAAGTTTTCTCCGTTCATAAACTCATATTCTCAAAATCTTTCATTACCAGTGCTTACATAAGTACATATAATACTTTCAATTAAAACAATGTGATTGATAAATTGTGCAAAATGTTTTTGTATTAGTGTTGCTTCTTAAAGTTCCTTCTTTATTCCATATGATCTGTACTTATACATCGATCTTACAGCAAAGTGTTAATTTACGATGACATATTTTATTTATTCATCACCATATGATTTAAATTAAAAATCTGATTAACATAACAATAAATTTCGAAATTCATGAATAATAAAAAGCAGGAGATGGCGCGTAAAGGATTAACAACGACGGCGAAATAAAAATGAGAACGGTACCAACAAACATCGCTGCGCCAAGAAATTGAATAATTGCATGAACTGTGTACATACATGTTTCTCCATTTTGAGTACGATCAATCGTCATCGTCGTCTGCTTCGTGAATCATAAGGTGGTTAGCGTTATCGTCGTCATCTTCATCGTCGACGTCTTCGTTGTCTTCTCCATGATCATTGATATATGCGAGTACTTCATTCTCATCGATAATACTATCTGTATCATTCTGCGTTTCATCCAAATCATCGAGATTTTCACAATCTTCTTCTGATTGTTCATTTTCTGTGGCATTCACTTGTTGCTGTTGAAAATACTGAAGTCTGCGTAATTCGCACCGAGCACTTCGTATTGACGTTCCAATTGCCTTCCTCATATCAGCCCCATTGAAATTTAAGTTATTGTGTAAATGACGAACATACACTGAAAAGAATGCGATGGTTTGATCTTTTATGATTATCAAATAAACTTACAATAGATATTTTCTAATTGTTCCTTTGGAATCGCTGAAATTGACATACAATCTGCTCTGCTTCCAATTGTAGGATAAAGAAGTCGAAAGATCTTCAAAGCAGATTTCTGCGGTGTTCTGGCAGCTACGGTTATGAGACTTGTTTTATCCAAACCCAGATCTTCTCCAATCTTTTCTAGTGTCCGTCCGTCGCCTTTAAACCTTCCATTATTTTTCATCAAATCCATCAGTTCGGTTAACCAGTCGAGGACGTCAGCATTCGGTCGAGCTAAAACATAATGAAGGAACCTATGATGAATTGCCGAAACTAAGACTCTAGAATATTCTTTATGAGATTATTCTGATATACTCCTACACGAATCATAAAAAAATGGTTCGAAAGTGATCCTCTGTTGTTTATAATCAGTATCATCTAGGTATAACATTCATTTAAAAGTCTCAAATACATATTAATAGATCCGAAAATAACGTGCTCAATGTGTTTATGCCTTTTAATTGTTCTTCAGCGTAGCTTTATAATAATAGATTGAAACGATTATAGTTCTCTCTCATGACCTTCTCCTTCTCTCAGCGAGATTTGCTTTTTACTCAAAGCAACTGAATTTATGATTTCGCAATAATATCAATAGGCAACTATAAGTCTCATCGGTAAAGGTGATATGAAGTAGTTAAGTTATGAGATATCCTTAAGAAAGTAACTTTTACTTTAAACAAAAGATAGTGAAAAACAATATACTCACGAATGGTGTTGGACTTCAGGAAATCAACTTGTTGCTTGAGAACTCCATAATCTTTTCGCCACTCCTCCGCCAAGTTTTTTTGATCAACATACAATCTCTTAAGCTCCCTATACTCAAGAGATCCCTCCACCAACGACTGAGTGGAACACCGTGTTGAATTAACGGAACTTGATCTGTCAGAGGAATTCGAAGAGGACAACGACGATAGACCATCTACTCGAGACACGTTTTTGCCTGTAGAGTACTGCGACAAATTGCTATCGACAGAAAACAAAAAGAAAATTGTCAGTTTACAAAACAACCCTCATTTACTTTTGTCTCGCATTTGCTTGAGAATCTTGACATTGTGACGAAGAAATATTTCTACGGTAGAAAGAAATTCATACTATGATAACATACGGGAAACTAACTTTCGGAATGAACTTGTACTTGTTCGGTTTGCATTAGTAGATGAGTTCGGTTGTGTTAGACTTGTTCTACACGAAAGTAATATTTTAATTGCTCCACAAACAATTGTAAATAATCACCTTTTGCTTAGGATCGATGTATTTTTCTGCGAACTACGTGGAGAAAAAAAATCAAAATTCCTGAACTATATTCTCAATGGAGCACGTTTACCTGTTTTCTGACATAATTGATGATTGAAGGTTAGTGTTAGCCGCCAGAGTATGTTTTTCTTTCGGGTGCAACGATGTCACAGCAGTAGTATCATTTCTTTCGTTTACTTTCGATAAAGACAATGGTGATGCACTTTGTTGTGTTAATGATGAAGTCAATGATATATTAAACCCCGTAGGTGTAGATGAACTAATGCTGGAATTTGTATCAATATCGATATCTTCAGCAATTCGTCCGTGATTGGTAATTTCAGATAATGCCTTCGTTGACTTCTTTTGACCGTGAACATCAACCGATCTATTGACATTCATCTGTCCATTTACCACCTTTTCCTGTGATACCTGTGGGACTATTCGAACGCGCTTTCGTTGAGTAGAATTAATTCCTCGGGAATTATCATTGGATGGCATTGTTCGTTTCATACTTTCAATATTCGAACGGCAACTGATTTTATTGATTGAGAAGGATCACAAAAATCTAGAATCAAATGAAATACCATGCGGACCACAAAAGCACATAGCGCAATGTGAGAACGATTCGTGGATATCGTGTATGATATATAAGGTGCAAAGAAAACGGTTGAACAGCGGATCAACAAGTAAAGAAGTCAGTAAACCAACACAACATCTTCCACACACGTGTATTCTCGAATATGGCAGCATTCACTAAATTTCATTCGCATTATATAGGCGAATGTCCTCTAAGATCTTACCCGCCTAGACTAAACGCAAGACAGACTAATCCTATAAATACAATCACATTTTTATTCTTCGGCCTGGAGCTCTAACATATCTATAAGATTAATTCTCTTTGTATGTCCTGCGCAGATAAGATATGAACCGATCGATCCCTTGATTTTCTTTGTAATCGAATATAAGTGCCTGAAACAGATACAGCGAACATTTTCGACGAAATTCTACACAGTCTGGAGCGGAAAGCAATTCTTGCTGGACCGGTCGCTCTCTCCAGCTGCTAGCTTCGTCTCACACTTTGATCAGAAGTGTGGTCACCTTTCTAACCAATCTGTTCCAACATACGACCTTTCCCATCCACAAACTGCATAAGCGAATTAGAAAGCTCCGATCCATTTCGAAAAACAATGCACTTTACTATGTGAAAACATTTCATTTCAGTTTCAACGCTTCGCCCATATCTGGCGCCATCACATATTTTATGTATTATACCTTCAAAATCCAATGGAACGAGCTGATTCACACAACGTCTATTAGTCCATATGACAAAAGGCAATTGACTACCGTACAATTCCTCTCACAATACACTTAACCTCATCGATCTTTGAACAATACAATGAAGTATTCTAACGAGTAATCCTATACTCCATATTCCATTTCCCTTCATCTGACACATACAATAAACATCTTTGTTCCATAGAAAACGTTTCCAACTCTACATCCACACCATACATCAAACTCATTTTTTAATCGCTCCCAGTTCATACAACATTCATACTTTTTCGTTATTCTGCATTGCGGTTAGTCACACGGGACCAAGGTAAGTCCTACTGCAATAATTGCTTCACAATTCGGATGGTCTTTCTGTTTTAGATTGCAGTTCGTGTGAGCAGATCGTGGTAAGTCCTACTACAATAATTGTTTCACAATTCGGATGGTCTTTCTCTGCTTTAGATTGCAGTTCGTGTGAGCAAATCGTGGTAAGTCCTACTACAATAATTGCTTCACAATTCGGATGGTCTTTCTCTGCTTTAGATTGCAGTTCGNGAATAGAATGAAAACAAAGTCAAACTGTGTTTTATCTAAAAAGAATAAACGCATACGAGCATTATAACTTTTTCATCGTCTTGAATTTATTTTGATAAAACACATGCATCGTCACTTGCAACAGATAGAGACAGGTGTCAACGCTGCATGGAGCTGAGCAGAAGAGTGAGACTGTTAAGGAGTCCACAGTCTTCAATAGCTGAAAGTAAAACTTTGTCTCACCGATAAAGAAAAGTATTCGTAAGAAGGTAAGGTAAAAATCTATGAAACGAAATATAAAGCAACGTGTGTATTTTTCATATATATTTAACATACATTTCTCTTGCGTCGAAACGTGTAAAATGATGAAAAACAACGAAAGAAAAGAAAAAATTCGTCGATGACGAAGTGTGAGGCATAGGTAAGTAGAGATTAACAGAGTGGCACAAAATTCTGCAGTGAATATTATAAGTGAATCCCGGTTGTCCTTGAAATCCTTGTTTGGTAAAAAATGTTCTCTGATGATTCATCGGCATTTTTCTCAACAATTTTCAAGAGTCTCTCCGCTTATGATTAATTGAAATCATCGAGTTTCACAGGTTATTCTGCTTTTATCTCTTTTCATATCAACAATTTGCATCTTTTATTCAGTTGACACGATGACATTAAAGGAATGAAAAAGGTGTGAATTTCGGTCATTTTGTTGTTGTAATCGTGTTTACTTGTCTTGTACTTCAACTTTCAGTTGCTTAATCGATTTCTACCATGAATATTCATAGTTTAAAAACTTCGTATGTCCTTCAAACCTAATTACAGAATTTCAATTTATTTTTTCAACAATAATTGGTTGACAATTACAAGACGAGTTTTGAAGTATATAAAAGCATACATTCAGAACTATCATTTCGGCGACTAACATCTTTCCATTGATGATGTTTGTCTGTTTAATCACGTTTATGAATATTTGCGCTATTTCAACTCTTAGCATCGGAACCATTTCAAACGCGATTTATACTCCGTATCCAACATATACAAATGCGTCTTATACATACAATTATTCAACACATTGTCTGCAATGTATTTGCTACGCGTTGACTACCAACATTTCTTATTCTGTTATGAATTGTTTCAGAAATATTACGTACTGTGTGTTCTATACGAATTTCACAGCCAGTTTTTCATTTGACACCAATATCAATAGCTCAGTTTATTTATTTCAATCACCTCCTTCTCAACCAAAGGTAACAACCATGGCACCATCTACTTACTCATCGACTCAAACAACACAAATGAGTAGGTTCATTTTAGTAATATGATGGAAAATAAATCATTGGTTGTTCGTTTCCTTTTAGCCTCTGCATCATCGCCATGTGCTCCTGGATTTCTTACCATAACTTTCGATGATATTATCAATGCATCGTCAGTGCAAGGTGCTGTTCCTACCACATATCGATGTTTCAATTGGGTTAATGGTTGGTATGCGAATGTTTCCGGTTTCGCCGTGACGAATGGCTTTCGGAGAGCATTAGTCAGTGGTGCTTACATTGTCCTAAATCGAAATGGAACGTCCATGAATATAACGAGAACTAATTCCTCGTTTCATGTTCATTCATTCGTAGCAAGTGCAGCTTACCAAGATCCTTTGCATTTATTGTTAAAAGGTATACAAGGTAGCAGTACATTAGCATATCAACAAGATCTGCTTGTTAATACAAGTTATGCACGAACGATAACGCTCAATTGGTATAATTTGACGACATTGAATTATCAAACCTATTCGTATAACAATGCGTCGGGAACGAATTCCACTGGATTAGGTCAACAGTTTTCAATGGATAACTTAAATGTCACATTAACTTAAATGTTATTTTCCTCTCAATCGAAAATCATATACTGTTCGTAAAAACAGTCGCGTTTTATTTTTATATATCGAATCCAATCGTTAACTTTTAATCTACTTTGGCTAGGAGTAATTCAGGATTAAAATGAATCCCATCATCACTACAAGCACAAAGAGATTTCGGTATACCTTCGGTGATACAATCCCGTTTTGTCGATATTCTATTAAATAAACTTGTTCGTCTTATATCATCGGTTGCGAGTGGTTTATCTGATTGGTTTGTTGCAATATTAAACAGAGTCCAGTAGAAATCTCGATGTGTAACAAAGTGATCTTGATTTTCAATAAGAACTTGTTTAGATGATGAAGTTAAATACTGATTAGGGATAATAGGTATGAAGGCAGGTAATCGTGCTTCCATTTTACCTGCGATTGTTTGATCGAATGTTGGACCGTAATGAAGACCATGGTCACCAAAGAGAAAAATAATTGGCGGTTGTTTCAATTTCGAAGAAGTTAAATATTCAAGTAATCTTGTCAATTCACGATCCATCAAACCAACAATTTCCATCGTTCGTTCGTGTCCTTCGGTAAACGAAGCGAACTGTATATAAGGAAACGGTTTTCTATCATGTTTTTCGACAAAATTCTTAATATAATCTAATAAATAAGTATGCACATACTTTCCATCAATACATCGTGGATTGTGACCATACGGTCCAAAAGAATCATCCCATTGGCCATCTAAATCATATTCCTTGTGACAAGCCCATGTGACACTTTCGTAATCAACATGAAAATCGTCACTCTTCCCGACATAGTCTAGTATCAAATCTTGACATACATTCACTGCTAATGACGTGACATAACCATTTCGTTTGAATACATTAAATATATAATAATCTTTTCGACACCATCTCCACCACCAAGTTTTCAACCAGGCGCGATTTTTCCCCCAGCCGTATTTTCCACTTGCGCAGAAAATGACGCGAATGTTCGGATCAGTATTTCGACCTAACGTGTGATATCTATGATAATCGAGAACAGTGTATCTATCTGCTAGTCGTGATAGATTGTTCCAAATGAAATTCGCGGTTTCAGGCAGTTTTCGGTAGAAATGCAGTCGACTCAAACTATCAAATTCAAGGAGAATTACCGGTGGTAAGTTCGATCGCTTTCTCGGAAGTTTGCTTTCAACTTCCGATTTGATAATAGTTTGAATGAACAATTGTTCTTGATTATCACATGCTACTGTAAATAATTCATCCTCTAGGATCAAAACTTCGATGATATCTTTTGTTCGAATTTTCTTCAGTAAGTTGTTCAAATCGGCTTGTCGCGAGTGCAATTGAACAGCATTCGGCGAACGTTTTATCAACTGATCAACGCTCGTTTGTGTGCGGTTTCCTCGAGTTCGACCAGTGATATAATTCGGAGAAAGAGTTATCGATAAACTGTGTGTTAATGGACAATTTACGGTTAATAAATGCTTTTCGTAATGAAATTTTGAATGATGAACGAAAGATTTCCTGCAATTATGAAAGTGAAAGTCAGATTTTTTAATTATTTGTTCGTAAGTAAAATTCAAGATTCGACAACCACATGTTGATTCAGAGGGATATAATATTGATGGAGACGTGTTTATAAAAACGAAAATAAGGGCCACAACAAGCACAAGAAGAGAAAAGCACCATTTTAATCTCTTAAAACGCATAACTAAAGAACGACAAAGAAATATGTTCGAGGTTATACATTCGAATAATATGTGTGTGGATGAGGAAAGAAGACGGTAGTTGATACAACGACTCAAATATTCCTCGGAAGAAAATCGATTCTTACGTGTCTTTATGATAAATTTTTGAGTAATCAACATTTGCTTCAGCACGTTTCTTTTGTCGTCGTTTAGTGCAGATAATGACATCATGTGTTAGAAGAGAAAAGGAACATGTATGTGTATATATTAAACAAAGATAAGAATAAAAATTTATAAACCATTCTACCTATGCAATGTTGGTCGTTATCCAGTTTTGAATTATTGAACGAGTAGATATTCTGATAGAAAAATTCTGTCGAAATTTCTATAAATTCTAAATGAGGTTCGTATTTGATTGTCATATAATATCGTGGAAAAGACAGATTAAACTTCGGAGACGTTTTTTAATTTTCTTTGTGAGATATGAAAAAATAATCGTGAGCATCTGTCATACTCAATAATATTTTATTTGACGAAGTGAAAAAGACACGAATTTCTCAGAAAAGTGTCTCGAAGAAACAGGTGTGCGTGTATCTCAATCGTTTTGTTAGGTTACTAATCCGGTATGATATTTCCACGAGTTCAAGGTCCAACTAGCGGTAGAGTATATTTAGCCCAATATTCACGAAACGATTTTCATTACACTGACACCAAATGGCAAAACAAATATTCATGCTACTAATCTGCTTAGTGCAGGCATCTCTGGTCCTTGGTGGAGCTATTTTCAGTGACTTGAGTGAGTAGGAAATTTTCTTATACGATATTGATAGATTGAATTTGCTGTTAGTGGTTCATGACGTGCTGAAATTGGCGAATGTGACTAACGATATAGCACCAGAAAGAGAAGCATCTACCCTGAATTGTTCAAAATACCGACGTGATTATGACATTGTCAAGTCTTTTCCATTCTCTGTTCAAACCAGTCCACAAGTAACAGCTAACAAAACGTATGTTCTCATGGATACAAACAATGCTGTCACGGATTTGACCATTTACAAGGAGAAATATGTTCCCATGAATGTCTATTGCCTGAAAAATCTGAAGAGCTTAACAATTGTCAACACAAGATTTTATGAATTTCCCAACGATGATCTAGGCGTTCGTGCAATCCCAGCCGAAATTGGTGAATTGAAGTTACTTACTCAATTACATATCTATGATAGTCCAGTACAGTATTTACCGAAAGAAATTGCAAACTTGAATGCATTGACACAACTGACTGTGGAGAATGGCGCCTTAAATGAATTACCTTCTGTAATTGGTCAATTGACTCGGTTACAAATCGTACGATTACCTAAAAATAATTTGAAGAGCTTACCAGCGACAATATCATCACTAGCATCGTTGAATACATTAGATATACAATCGAATCAGCTAACTACAATTGACGAATTGCAAAATGCGTACAATTTGAGAACTTTATATGCCCAAAATTGCCAAATTACATTTCTTCCTACAAACCTTCCTCATGTAGACCATCTCAATATGTCACATAATAATTTAGAGGATTTATTTGGTATTGGTACTCTGGGATATGGTGTTGGCTACGGTGGCACTTTAAAATTTTTTGACTTTAGTCATAACCGTATTGAAGTCGTGCCGCCAGAAATTTCAAAAATTGTTGCCCGAATACAAGAATTCTCAGTGAAAAACAATCAATTAACACATTTACCAAAAGAATTCTTTAATTTACGTTATGCGGCTACAACTCGAATCGATCTGAGTCTAAATTGGTTCTCGGACGAGGAACTAGAGTTAATTAAAACAACGATGCGAACACTCTTTCCCCAAGCTCAAGTCATTTATTGAACATTCACTTTTCCCATGAAATTATTTAAAATCACTGAAACACCCTTTTCTTGTCCTACTAATAAAAAGAAAACATAATTCTCTCCAAGGTACATAATAAAATATATGTATGTCGCATTCACGCACGCTCATTTAAAGAGAAATGAATCACCCCCTTCGTATACTCATCATAGTGGAAATCACCGTATATGCATTGATAACTTCATGCTCATGTGTGTATTTATTTTCAATTTTATCAATTAAACGTTCTCATTCGCCGATTCATTTTCTAACTACTATTGTTTCTCTGACATCGTTTGCTTGTTCTAGTGACGTTTTATCCCGATATGTATAACGCCAATCCTAACACATGCAGTCTCCAACAATACTCACAGAATGTGTTTGTCTGTCAAGTTGTATACACGTTATGTCTCGTTTCCTTTCGTCGATTGTATCATAGTGCATTCGCAGATACACTTTTTTAGGACAAACAAGTGGACGTTTTCCTTCGTCATATCCATTCCTACTGTATTTATTTCAGAAGACGTGACTTGGTTTCGAAAAAAAAACATTATTGTTCTTTGTCTTTTCCATAGGAATGTAATCATAACATCCCAGACTGGTTCAAAATTTATTAATTAACGGTTATTGCGATCTTTTCTGCAATACTTCTTGGATCGATAAGTACGATGCTCTTCATCAACGCTTACGGATCGACACGGCGCGTGGTTTCTAAAGAAGAAACAGGATTTTTACTAAAATCTAACAATCGAGGCGGTCATGTTCTCAAACGTATGCTGTTTATGTTTGTACTATATATTACAAGTTGGACACCGATATTTCTCTGTATGTTGTTAGTCCACTATGGTTCAATTTCTTACTATTCTTTTCTCTGCAGTTGTCAATGCAGATAAGTATGCTAATCGATATGATTGATTTATTTTATTACAATCACGACTCGCGAAATCACCTCAAACGAGCAGTTTTGTATCTACGAAGGAATCGATTTATTGCTGCAGTTGTTCTCATGAATACGTAACTGTATGATTGACATTTATTTACATCAAATAAAATCATGATGAATTCACAGTTTTGACGTGAATCAATATCCTCTGTTTAGCAACATCGACTTTTTCACGCGTATCAAGATCGTTGCTTGGTGTATATGTAGCCCATTCTAGTCTGCTAAAACCAAATTACAAAATGGTTTGGAAAAATCTCTAAATGATGTCTTCAAACAAACTACGTACGTCATCATATGAGAGAACAAGTAGTTGAACCAATTTGACTCGATATAGGGAATATTTCTATAGTTCGTTTGAGTACGATGGAAAAAACGACATTTTTTTTTCGAACATCAATGCATCATTCCTACGTGATAGAAAAGATTTTAATTGTGTTTGGTATTCGATTTGATTGCAAGTGTCGAATTACATCATGTTATACCAGTTGTCTTTACATCTCAATTTGTTTTACAAACACATTACGAGACTTCTAATAAACATCAGAAGAAGAGAATTCCAATTACAAAGTGAATACAATTGTCTTCTTAACTATTCTGTAATAAGTTTATTGAGAAATTCTACTAGTTTTAACGAGTCAAACACTTGATAGGAGAACACATGGTGTAAACGCGTATGTCTATATATACGTTCAAGGACATGTTCATATTCTTTATTTCTTTCTTTCTTGTTCTTCCTCCTCCTTCTTCTTTCGATTTTCACTCAATGTGCTCTAGTAATTCGGTGCTACTAACTACTATTCCTCCTTTCATCTTGCATAACTGTGACTACGTCCATATTGTGTTCTTGAGCTTGTCAAACAAAAAACACGTTGTATCAAATTTCCTAGACAATGAATTGGCAATATAAACATAAGCATTCTCTCGAACAGCGTCGATTTGAATCTGAACGTATTCGACGGCGTTATCCCGATCGTATTCCTGTTATTGTTGAACCATTACTCTCTTCGTCATCAGTGTTACCAACATCATTATTTCGTTCGTTTTCTTCGTCATCATCGTCGTGTCATGACACAACATTAATTCGTCTCGAAAATGAGAAATTCCTTGTCCCATCTGAACTATCCTTCGGTCAGTTTGCTTATAACATTCGACGACGTCTACGGCTACGTCCCGAGCATGCGTTGTTCTTCTATGTCAGTTCCTATGGTAAACAACCATCTCTGAACACAACTATTGAAGTTTTATATCATGAAAATAAAGATATCGATGGTTTTTTGTATGTGTGTTACGCAGACGAGAAAGCTTTTGGATGAAAGAAAACAGGTTATATTCTTTTGTTTGAATAAAATATAATATGTGTCGTACGATTGATTTGTCTCTCTTGAAAAATTTCACACAGAGCGTATTTGAAAAAAAAGAAATGAAAATTCTATTCTTTTTCTTTTGAACTGGCCAATGTACATTACAAGAATCATCGACAGAGCGAAAAAAGTTCATGAGTCAATGACTTTTCTTTCTTTCATTATGATGGATCGAGATTCTATTCATAATTTCTAAAGAAAACTGATCGCGATCAATTACCTTTCTACCTATGCAATCATTCACTTCATCCTCCTGTCCAATATTGACTGAGATCAATGTTACATGTAATATTTCAACATCTCAATGCAATAACAGCTGGTTTGCAATCAAAAGGAGTTATAGTTGAGTCTTTTTTTATTGTAAGAAAAGTAAAAATTAAATTATCGTAGACTTTTGATCATAGACAGTCATGTCATATCCTATCGGAGAAAACGATGGATTTGCATTTCCATTGAGTTTTCCTACAATTCCTGCTCGGTGGCGATAATCTTTATCTTTCATATCTTGACGGTGTTTCAACGGAACGCGAAAAAGCCATGTAATCATTATAATATGAAGGATAATGAAAGCAGAAAAAAACACAGCGAACGCACCACGATCTAAGTAAACCATCCAGGAGCCCTTTGGAACACGAAAGTCGCTCGTTTGTTCGTATATTATTACGCTTATGATACTGTGCCACATGGAATGCAATATCAGATTGAATATACATAAAATACCATATCTATCCAGTGATGTTAAGTAAGATATCGTCGGCTAAAACAAAGAAAACGAATAGAGAATTGTGTTTGGCTACAAGAGTATGAATGGTCACCAATGATCGATTAATTGTCCAACGAAATGAGATTGATGTTAGAAGAAGTGTGCATGATACTTGCAGGCGATTGACTACATATCTGAGGAGAGAAAGAAATCCATCGCGTGTGCAAAGATTGTTACGAACTTACTGCAATGGCAAACCAAATGCACAGAATGACACGAGAGTAATCAGTAGAATGAGACAAAATCCATTCCAAAAGAAGTATTGCGATTGACGAGCTATGTAAAAAAAAGAACACACAATTCTTCTTTCTTTTTCTGTTCTTTTACTACATACCGACGTGACAGGTAACTGTCAATACAGATCGTTTTCGATCTTCTGTATTCATAGAATGTATCCCTCCTTCATCATCATCATCACCTTCATAGTCCGTTCGAAACAAAAATTCTTTGATATATCTCTCTTGTGTATCAGTATGCTCGTACAAGCTCCATTCCTGTTGATCAACAAACGCTTCACGGTTCACTCCACTTTGACGATGTGGATCAGCAATTAAAACAACTCTGTTATGGAAATATGTTGATGTCACTGAGATTGACAAGTCTTGAACGTCACTTGGAAAATGCTGCAACTCGAGTTTCTCCCAAAATAGTCCTTTGATGATTCGATGTTCACAGACGTAGATTTTCGCATCTTTTCCATTGATTTTCGCACTGTACTTGATTTGTTCTTTCAGATCACCTAGTGCATTCTCGATATAGAGTTGAGGATGCCAATGAGTTTGTTCATATTTATCAAGAAGAATAGATTTCCCATTGATGAGGCGTTCTTGTTCGGTAGTTGTGATAGTCGATAGAAATTTGTCGTGTGAGACTGTCCAACGAGACTCGATGGATGCATGTGCTTGATATCGTTCATTGAGTGTATCAATTTCACCTAAATGAGAAATCATTGGATGTGATTTGATTGTGAGAGTAATGGAATGAGCTTTACCTATTCGAAGGAAGACGAGTCGAACATGAACTACTGTGAGTTTGTCAGAAGAGGGCGAAATCATAGTTGACTACAGGTGTATGATGTGAAATGTTGTTAAAAAATGAAGCGATAATTTTTTTTTGGTAGTGATTGATATAGGATACACGATCAAATATTTGTGTCCGATCCGATCGTTTCACTGTAGAGTCGTAATCTTTCTACAGTTTCTCAAACAAATGTTGTTACGAAAAAAAAGTGCAGAAAAGGGTTGTCAATATTTCCAATGTAATCAGATACATATGTAAAAAGAAAATTCTCCTTATATTCCAGTAGAATGAATGCTATATCAATCGTCGATCAGATCTGTCGAAACATGAGTTTTGTCCTATAAAGGTGCACGGCAAGATTCGCTTTTGGATGTCAAATTCGTGCTGATTTATTTTTACTCAGCAAGAGAATGGTTTCATGGAATCAAAATAAACTTCAAAAATGGATTAGACGAATGTCGACTGTCGACTGATATGGTTTTGATCGAAATTAATTATCTCTTTCTTGATAAGACACGATTGTTGTTCGTCGACTTTCATTTTTTCGACCACCAGTAGCCGATAGCGCTCATCTTTATTTCTCATTTCTTTACGATGTCTCAACGGAACCCAATAGAGCCATGCAATCATGATAACATGTAATACAATAAAGAGAAGAGCGCATACACCAAATGCTGCACGATCTAAATAAGCCATCCAGGAATTCTTTGGCACATGAAAATTGTTTGTTTGTTCATAGATAATCACACAGATGATACTGTGCCAGACAGCGTGTAGTATCAGATTGAATATACATAAAATACCATATTTATCTAGTGATGTCAGATACGATATCGTCGGCTAAAACAAAGAAATCGAAAAGGACATTGTGTTCCGAGATGAAAACGTTATTATCGGTTACTAGTGATCGATTGACTGTCCAACGAAATGAGATTGATGTTAGAAGAAGTGTGCACGATACTTGTAAACGACTCACAACGTACCTAAGAATGAGAAAATAATCCGATACATCATATTGCTTTTCTAACGAACTTACTGCAATGGCAACCCGAATGCACAGAACGAGACTAGAGTGATTAGAAAGATTAGACAAAATCCATTCCAAAAGAAATACTGTGATTGACGAGCTAAGATAAAAAGAACGGAGAGTTGTTCTTTGTCCTTTTATGACGTACCAACATGACAAGTAACAGTTAAGACAGATCGTTTTCGATCGTCGGTATTCAAAGATTTAAATCGTTCACAATCACCTTCTTCGTCGTCGTCATCATCATCATCGGAACTAGTTTGGAATAAGAATTCTTTGACGTATCGTTCTTCTGTGTCAATATGTTCATACAGACACCATTCTTGTTGATCAACAAACGCTTCACGGTTCACTCCACTTTGACGATGTGGATCAGCAATTAAAACAACTCTGTTATGGAAATATGTTGATGTCACTGAGATTGACAAGTCTTGAACGTCACTTGGAAAATGCTGCAACTCGAGTTTCTCCCAAAATAGTCCTTTGATGATTCGATGTTCACAGACGTAGATTTTCGCATCTTTTCCATTGATTTTCGCACTGTACTTGATTTGTTCTTTCAGATCACCTAGTGCATTCTCGATATAGAGTTGAGGATGCCAATGAGTTTGTTCATATTTATCAAGAAGAATAGATTTCCCATTGATGAGGCGTTCTTGTTCGGTAGTTGTGATAGTCGATAGAAATTTGTCGTGTGAGACTGTCCAACGAGACTCGATGGATGCATGTGCTTGATATCGTTCATTGAGTGTATCAATTTCACCTAAATGAGAAATCATTGGATGTGATTTGATTGTGAGAGTAATGGAATGAGCTTTACCTATTCGAAGGAAGACGAGTCGAACATGAACTACTGTGAGTTTGTCAGAAGAATGCGAAATCATAGTTGAAATGCAAAAATTATGATACTTTATCGAGCATTGATATCAAACATAAATTTAAATATTGATATCTAATCATGACATTGTATAAGTAAGATTTCATAAGTATTTTGTTTTCAATCAGAACTAAGATAAAACATATCGAAAATGAGAGTCAATATTTAAAGTATGACTCATTAGAATGAGAAAAAAGAACCTTAGTTGTATACTGACATCGAATGAATAATGCAACACACCTTCGTGTTTATTTTCGATATTAATAGTTCTAATTTGTTGGCAAATATTGTAACTAGAATAAGTTTGTGTCTTTTTTTACAACGCTCATTAATATGAATGTGAATGCGCATGAAAACGAAGAAGTTGACATTCTGTGGTTCATATTGCACAAACATGTGTGTGTGCATCACTTTGTCAAATTAGTTTTCTGAAAGAAATTCTGTTAGAGCAACTTAAGATGTTTATGAATCAAACGGAACCATTAAGAATTTCATAAACAAGATAAATCTCGTCTAAAACTAAAGATTTAATTTCAAACGACATGCTGCTACAAAATTAAAAGGTTAGATTTCATTTACTTGAAATAGAATTTCATGTAAGGTAAAGTAATTAGTCTAAGTCCCGTTTTGTCTTTCTGTGCTACCGTCATCTAAAGATTATATTTTCAAACCTGATTTACTGCTCGAATTTGCGCACAACAATTATCATTTTATCTCGATTGTATTCAACAGCAAACGCATCACTAGAATGACGAGCACAGCTGCCGAAGCTGTTGGATTTTACGGTTACCTACTTTCAACTCCATTTGGTTTCGTCGGACATATATGTAGTATAATAACATTTTCATCTCAGACTCTTCGCAGCACTTCAACTGGATTAGTTTTTATGACCTTAACTCTCTCTGATATGTTGTATCTCTTCATATCTATCCGTGATTTTGTTTCAGTAACGCTTAATTTACCATCCATACGTAGTGAACATCTCTGTCGTTTTCGAGAATTTGCAAGCAATTTCGCAGCATTTACATCTTCTTGGCTACTTGTTCTCATTTCCATTGATAGGCTCATTTGCACTCATTTCCCGTATCGAACGGCAAAGATCTGTACACGAAAAGTCGCCGGTTGTTCAATAGTTGCTGTGAGCATATGTTCTGCTGCTTTCACAAGCCACGTTCTTCAACCAGCAGTTTCCTACGCTAATCCATCAAGTAACTGGTGTGGTCCTCCGGCATTTCCTTCGACTGACTATTCCATCTTTTACTACAACACTTGGACTATCCTGCGATTGATGATTCTTTATATTGTCCCTAGTTGTTTCATGATCGTGTGTTTAGTGAGTGTTCACTTGAAAATACATAGGCGTCCAACTATTATTGTACCATCAGTTCGTAGAGAGCGCGTCCAACGACAGATGCTTATCCTGATGATTTCAACTGTCATCTGGTTTTGCGTATCGACATTGCCTTACTCTGTTTATCAAATTTTTTACCTCAAATTCGGAGATGTTTCGGTATTGCCGATTGAAATCTTTGTGTTTTACAACGCTCTAAATATGAATTATTGTTACAACTTCTACATTCATTGCTTAACATCACAATTATTTCGACAAAATTTCATTCAGAAATTGAAGCAACTTTATCTATGGTTAAAAAGAAAAACGAGAAGACAAGTTGCTAATCAAATTTATCCAATGATTACAAACATCCAGCCAACAATTTAATCCATATTCGATTATTTAGTCCAGCAACTGAAGATCATTCCATACATAAGCCGTTAAAATTCCACTATCCAAGTTCTTTGTTCCTGCCAGTGTACCTCCAGCCGAACGATAAAATCGATGAGCTTGTTCTCGATTCGCTCCCCAGACGATCAGATTGTTTGGATGGAATCTTTCAACAATCGCATTCCAGATAGTTCGCCACAGTTCACGACCGATACCACGATGTTGATATTCCTGATGGACGAACATATGCGCAATTTCACAATCGTAGACTTTATCATTGACTGTTCGATTGCATTGAAGAGTTTCACCGCCTGAACATAATCCAATCATTTTCTTCTGTTCATTTTCCGCTACATAATAAATAAACGTCGAATCTTTCCCAAATCTTGGCGCATATCGTTCATATCGCTCTTGTAATTCATCATCAGTCGATGGACTATCGAGAATTTCATCTATCAACTTGAACATTGTAAGAACATCATCCAAAACAGCCGTTCGAATTGTTATCTTTTCTGACATTGTCGTATCGGTGTCGAAAAATCGTATCCATTTTATACTTATCAATACTGCATACGTGTTCGTGTACTGACACGTCACCAGCATATGACTAAGTTCTATTTGCAGAACAAAGAATCGAAATGCTTTCTATATTAAAGTTAAAAAATTTAAAAGAAAGTTCCTTACGGAAAAGATCCGAATTTCGTTCATTCGATTCGACATGGCTTTAGAATGATTTTCTTTCTAGATATTCATTCTTTATCTGTGCGTAGAGGAGACAATTTTCTCGTTGCATGATAAACAAAAGTTGAAAAACATCTGTCACTAGAATTTCCACGTTACAAAATTAGGAGATTACCGATCAGTCAAAATCTCACTGTCGGATGAGAAAATACTCCCTGGAGTTTTTTCCCCAATATTTATTGCATCATCCTGTGTCCAAGAAAAAATAAAATAAGAAGGATCATAGCTATTTTTAAATTCTGCATGATACACGAGAAGAAGAGGATTTAAAGCACAAAGCAAATGTTTTACTATAGTTTCCTTCATGCGCAGTGGTTGTTTATACTAAATTTTAGAAAAATTTTGTTAAAGTGATCTATTTCAAGTGAGATCTACATATTTGCATACGGATGATCGATCATGTATAGAAAGTACGATGGTATTCCTTGTGAGACTTTGAATACTCCCGAATCGACATCTCCGTCGATTTATGTACAACATTTTATTCTCTGATTAAATCGCTGTTCCGCAATCAGAGGTTCAGGATCTTCTAATATGAACTCACACACACAAGTAACAGAATATGAATGTTGCCTAAGGTAGTCATAACAGTTTTCTGTATCTATTGCGAGAGATCATATTTTATCCATCTTTACGTTATGCAATCGAGGTAGTCGTTATGATATTCGAAAGAAAGCTTCACTTCTTTAACTCCTTCTTAAGGCGGTTTTTTTCTTGAGTGACCTACCAGATTCTTCTAGTGTCTCTCGAGATTTCAAGTAGCCTCATTCTAGTTTGAATGAATTTGAAAGGCCACCGGATCTCAAAGTTCTGCTTTTAGAAAATATACATGACGAATTGAAAGCTAGCTTCTGTCAATACGACGCTTAAGTAACTCCACTTAATTTTTTGTTAAAAATTGGCTTACTAGAAATTGTTCTGTAACAATACATTTTTGTGTACGATAACTTTGGTTTCAATGAATTGAGCACGAAAAATTGAGTCGTGCTCATTGTAATATTACATAGAATCCATCACGAACAGCATTGAATAGGCTAGTTTTCTTTCGAGTATAAATTTCTTTAGTCATTGCCATTTAATAGTGTGACTAGGATGAATTGATACTTGATAGTTACTAACAATGCTATATAGAACCAGCTCTCTAACTAAGAACCTTTGTCTATGTATGTGGACTTGAAAATTGGTAAACTTTACAAATGTCGAGAGACGCTGGAAAAATATGGTATGTCACTCAAGAGAAAAACTATGTTAAGAAGGAGAGCTAAAGAAGTGAAGCTTCCTATCGAATATCATAACGACTATCTCGATCACATAATATAAAGATGGATAAAATATGATCTCTCGCAATAGATATAGAAAAGTGTTACAACTTTCTGAATGTTCTATGTATGTTTCATACAATTCAAATGAATCAAATTCATTATGATTACATTTTAAATAGGAAATGAAACGAACAGAAAAAGAAAACAAAATGAGACTTTATTTATATTGTACATAGATAGGTCGTGATTTGTAAATTTTCTCGTAAGTTTTATTCGTGATAACACGATTTAATAATGATTGTCGAGAAAAGTTAGCTTTTCGAAGATTCGGATCTTCTATAATGGAAGGGAATTTGGTCAAGAAGCATATTTTCTTAATTCTAATAACACTTCTAGTTTATCTACGGTTCTCACTAATCCTCGAAACTATAGGTGGTCCGCACGTCGCTTCAGACTTAAGAAAAATGGAAAATATTGACTGACTAGAGTAAGCTACAGGTAACTTCACATTCTCGAATAGAGAAATCACTTGTGTTTTGTAGTTTGATGTGTAGCTTTTACGTATGAATTGATTCCATGTATCGTCTTTTTTCTAGATATGGGAAAAGATCGTTAATTACGTTGACTATTTCTTTGGTATAGCCGTTTGTCGAACGCTTTTCTTCATTCATACCGTACCTTTTCATAGAAAAGATATGCATAATAGCTCATACGAAGTTTGTAATGTTCGATGTGAAAACAAATATCACACACATCTTTACCTTTATTTCAGCTAAATACTGGAACTCTCGAAGCGAATTCAAATACGAATCATAGAATGTTGTTTGATAATCATAACATGTTCAAATCAGAATACGTCTCTTTCTTTTAGTTTCCAGCGTATTCCGAAAAAATCGGCTTTAGGTAACATCAGGAACTATTCTTCTAGCTCTAATCATAGTTAATATTCTCATACAGACAGTAATTCGACGAAAAAACGAACGCTCAACACCATCTGCAACAGCACAGCAAGATTCGTCAACAACCAAGACAACATCGCTACCAAACGCAGCTGATGGTACAATTGGATATTCTTTAGAATGAGTTTTATCTCAAACATATATTGGCTTTGAGCTCTCAATTGAAAAGATAGGCATTTAGGCAATAATGTTTGGTAGAATTACATTAGATAGTCATAATAAGAGCGATTTAATCAAACTTTTTAGTTTTATGTAATTGCTCACCTTTTAATTACTAGAATAAGTAATTGATATTTTTTCGATAATGACGTGGAGAACCATCTCACGACTCAACCAAGTTATATTGCTCTACCGTATCAGATTGTCGAGCGTTTACCTGATATAAAATTAGCAAGCAATGCATTTGTCAAACAAGTGCTGGTGAAGGTAGCTATAAACAAATTGGAAGTACAACTGATGAAAACTTGACAAATCGTTTGGATAAATCCAAGCATGGACTATAGTCACAGCTGTATTATTCCGATATTCTTGAATAAATACTGCGTCTCTCTCTTTTGTTGCTGTGAGAGCAACTCAGACAATTCAACTTTCTTATTTGATCATTGGTTGAGGGTCATAGTAGATATAACCTAACCTTGAAGATGATCTTGGCGTTATTTGAATGTGACTAATTTGAGGAATGGGTGCCTTAAAAAGGAAGTTTTTGGCTGAAAATTCGTTCCTCGACATTGCAGTTTTCTAAGGCTAGTTGTGAAGTGAGAGAGTGAGGTAACATATATTTTTTCGTTCGTTCGGGTGATGATTACACATTTATGAAGAGCACATTTTCGTATTTGCTTTGTTTTGCGTATAAATGTCCGATAAGCAGTCAACAAATAACGCAATTACTTACCTGACGTCAGATGGTTTTTTCCAACTTCCAAAAACACCCCATGGTTACACACATATATCAAGCAAGTATAGATTAAAAAATCATTTTTTTATCACTGTTCGTTTCTCATGTCATTAACGTATCGACATTAAGGTTATCTTCTTGTCAATTTTTCCTGATAGTCGGGTAGAGCCCGTTGCGTTTCGCATAAGTATTTCGTTTTAATATTCTCGGATCGAGTATTTCAGGAAAAATTTTGAAAATATTATCAATAGGCAGCAGTACATACATCTCTTCCATCAAAAATCGTCACAGTTATTAGTATTGCTTTTTTATAGAAATGATAATCTACTAGGAAGTAAGTTACAGAATTTCAAATACGGCAGACCGTTTGTATTTCCTACATCCCTGTATATATATTTAGAACAAAATTTTCGGTCGTATTAAGATTTTCAGTTTTCCGTAGCTCTACTAAGTTTTCCTTCTTTGAAAACATCTGTTGGCTTGATGAGACCATTCGAACAGTATTCCGTAGAAACTAGTGGTCAATTGCCTGGGCTTCTTAAGACTGTCACCGATCGTTCTCTCTTTTTTCTTTAGTCTTTTCGTTCTTTTTAATTACTGGTTTGCACAGCGAAACGTGTAAAAAACAGACAAACAACTACAATTACGCTGCCATCCTACGAGAAGCTGTAAACTATACGAACACAACGATTGAGGACCGTCGAATAAAAAGTGAAAATGGGAGGATTAGTTACTAAGCTCATGACATTGTATTTTGGTGTTGACAATCTTGAAACTCTTTCTATTGTGTGGCTTGATGCCGATGATAATGTCTTGAAAACAAATGCATCAGTTTACAAGCAGTTTTGTTCGATTACCGAGTTCATTCATACATTTAAAGAGGCAGCAGAGTGCGAAGCACATATCAGGCGAGCGAAATACGATCGCATTATACTCATTGTTGATGGACAATTGGTAAAAGATACATTGAAGCATATTCACGACTTGAAGCAAGTAATATCGATTTATGTTTACCATAATAAAGCCATACATGAAGATTTTCAATGGACTTCAACGTTCAAAAAGGTGAGATGTAAGCACAATCAGATGTTTTTTCTTAATCTTCATTGCTACGCTTATAGGTGAAAAGTCTGTCTACACAACTAACCGAGATAGCAAAGCAAATAAAAACAGAAAATAAATGGCAAAGCAGAATCAAAGATTCGTTACCGATCACCATCGCTGAAAGAACATCATCAGGTATCGATGGAAACTTCCTTCACGGACAACTACTTCTCGAAGTTCTTGACCAGATGGAAGAAGATGCGCGGGAGAAGAAAAAGCTCATTGAATTGTGCCGGGACACGTACAAGGATAGTCCCGCTGAACTGACTCGAGTTACCGAATTTGAAGAAAATTACCGTGCTGACATGGCATTGTGGTGGTAAGAGAATACTATCAGCTTACAGAATTGAATAGGAGACACCGAGGGATTTCTTCCACCAAAAAGTGGAGCATCATCGTCTTTCTACAAAATTTTGTATCTTCTCATAGCAGATCGAACGGATATGTTCCTCTAAGCAAAGGCTCACAGAAAGTCAATCATTTTAGCATTTTTTGTTTCGCTTCTAACGAAAAATCATGAGATATTTTCTTTCGGCTTGATGATCTCTCTCGCTTTTCAAAGTAATTGGGCCACCTAGACATTGTATTTGCTTTTATTTCGAAAGATCATTTTAAAATGTTTTTATAGGTATACACGAGAATCGTTTGTTTATCGAATGGTAAATAATGCTTTCAGAACTGAAAATATTGACGTTATCGTTCTTTTTCGATCGGTTATCCACGACGTCGAAAATCAGTTACGCGATGTACAAATCTCTTCTGCAATTCACGTGTATCGGGCTCAGTTGATGTCAGAAAAAGAACTTGCTTTACTACGCCGATCTGTAGGTGAACTCATCTCGATCAATTCATTCCTATCGTCTACAGCCGATCGTAATTATGCAACATTTCTTTTGGAATCGAGTGCTAACAGTAAGATGGAGCGTGTACTGTTTGAAATTGATGCCAATCCTAATCTATCAAAAACTAAACCTTTTGCCGATGTTTCTTCCCATTCGTCATTTCCAGATGAAAAAGAAATCTTGTTCATGGCTGGATCTATTTTTCGACTCGTTAATCATTCCGAAGAACACGGGGTACATACTTTGCGGATGGTCTTGTGTGGAGAAGAAGATCATGATTTAAAACCTCTCTTTGACCATTTTAGAAAGGAAATTAATCAAGAAGATGGCCGTTTATCACTAGTAATACTGCTCGCCAAATCAGGTAAAACGCAAGCTGCAAAGAAACAATTAGAGTTGTTTTTGAAAAAGCTAACGGACAAAACTGGGAACGTCTCCTACGAAAATCATCTACTTAGAACCATGTTCGATGATGAAAATGCCGGCGACTTTGATTTCCATGTGAATGGGCTCAAGTTTCAACTGGCTGTCAGTGGGGAGCAAATACTCTTTTGTCATACGCCTACAACGTATAACGATCATTTTTTTAATGCGAGCCATTATCGAAATATGGGCGATATAAATCGAGCACTCTCGTCGTATGAAGCAGCAGTTAACAGCTACAGACAAAAGCATAAGGAAAACCACGAAAACATTGCGAGAAGCTTGCTTTCCATGGGGCACATCTATATGACAATTGCAAAATATGACAAAGCTCTTTTCTTCTTTCAACAATCGCTTTGTTTAATCGAAAATTTTCTCAATAACGACCAGTTGATCTTAGCCGCCTGTCACGATCATATTGGAAGTGCTTACTGCGAAATGTCGGAATATGATCTTGCGCTAGACAGTCTCGAGGCTGCATTCCGTATCAAGAGCCAACTGTTCCCACCAGACCATTCACAGATTGCTATTTGTTTTGATCTGATGGGGGGTGTTTTACAGAAGAAACGTGACTTTTCCAAAGCACTATCCTTATACAAACAAGCAGCCGATATCTATCAAAAATCACTTCCTTCAGATCATCCATTTGTCGTTCACATAATGGATACCATTAGTATTCTCAGAAAAGAACATTCTCTAACATTGCTGTATCCTTCTCCACGACGTTTTTGTTTTTTATTGCTCATTTCTACGACGATCAGTTTAATTGTTGCATACACATGGGCTTACCTGGAGGAACTTTAATGCAATAAATGCTTGAGATTAGTCAGCTAACTCTATTCATTTCACACGTACTTACCTATCAAAATCTGAAATATACATTCAATAACAATGCTGTCCATGTCGTATATTCGTTTCTTTCCTAAGAAGCTGGCCATCATTTTACAAATTATCCAACATTGTATCTGTCACACTTTATTTCATATTTATAAATGAAGATGGGAATAGTGTTCTTCGTCGTTGATTTGAAATATGGAGCACACAATATCTTATGAAAATGATAATACTTTTGAAATCAAAAAGCATCTTTTCCTTTCCGCTTTGTATATGTTCGAACAATACGATCATATATTCTTCTTATTTCAACTAAATTATTATCAAAGGAGAAGAACCATCAACACTAACTACAACGATACAAAATATATCATCCTCATCATTGGAAAAACGACAACAAGTAGAGCAAAATCACTCCCGGACACAACTGAAGCTATTTATTTGGATACTTTATACAATGCATTTAGATACGATTTCGTTGCAAGGAATTAATTCATCGTATAAGAAAAGGAAATAATGCCTATAGACACAGTTATGTTATAAACAACAAGCAGATAGTTCAAACGAATTTTTTATTTGATCATTTGCGTGTCAATATATCACTGACTGACGAATAATCGCAATACGATTCTATCTGTTCGAAACACCCATAGAAATGAGAGTGTTCTTGTCTAGATTTTTGGGCAGTCATGTCTTCTTATGCTAGTTTTCGACGGCAAGCATGGTAAAAGGACATGCGTTAGTAATTGACAGGAATATTTATACATCCTAGCCGTACGTGTCTTTTTCTCAAGAGCTGTAAGTGTATCATAGTTCATCATAAAAAAAATGTAGTTCGGTATTAAATTCTTAATGAATTCGAACTAGTTTCCTTTTTTTCTTCTATAGATAATATATAACAAAAAATGAAATAAAACTTTGAAATGCATTCAGTAGTTATATCATTTATTGATAACGATATGCTAGAAGTGTGTATTAACATCTCCCTCAGATAGTGATACTCTCAAGAGAAAGACTTGCCTGAAAAGCATTTGACCGTCTTCAATTCTGCTATTAAGTTTTACTATGGTGCTTATTAATGAGATCAGAGAGCCTCAATGGATGTTTCTTCTTTTTCTGTTCTTTGCATGAAGAGAAAGAAAATGACGTTTGCGCATGTCTATAATTGAGAGCGGATAGAACTCATCTTCTTAGCATAAATAAAAATGAATAGCTCGGAAGGAAGTTCGTCCAATGGTTTCATGCGACAAATCAAATTTGATTTACTCGTTGCATTTCAAATTCCATCGATTTTCTGTCATCTATTTTTTATTTTTCATCTTCTCTACGATCAAGCATTACGAAAATGCCTTCGTAACCATACCATTCTATGTTTGCTCATTGTCAACTTCTTTCTAATCACAGTTGACCTGTCCATTACACTCGATTTCCTTTCCTATGGCTTCGTTCGAGGCAATTCATGGAGAATTTGTCAAGCATGGAATTTTCTCGATGCATTTCTATCGAGTTTCTGTTCTTTTCTGATCATGTGGGCAGCCTTTGAGCGCCATCTCCTTATATTTCATCATCGTCAATTTTTCAACACTCTACACAAACGCTTCCTCTTCCATTATTCTCCTTTATTTCTTATTTTCTTGTACGTTTCAATATTTTACACGATCGTTATCTTCTTCAATCCGTTATGCGAACATGAAACACACTTCCTAATCAATGAGATGTTTTGCGGTAAAGCATGTTATGTTCACACGGACATTAGGCTTTCCACGTTCGAATTAATCGTTCATAAAATCTTCTCGTCGTTTTTGATATTTCTCTTCAGCTTTACTTTGTTAATCCGAGTGACATGGAAAACATTTCGAGGTCGTCATCCGATTCGCTGGCATCGTCGAAGAAAACTAATTATTCAGTTTATATTCGTCTCATTGGTTTACTTCATGGGAGCTTTACCGGCGAATATTAGTGAACTTATACATGTGTTAAGCAATGACCCTCGCGATGGACAGGAAACCGAAATACAAGAAGATGCTTTTCTTTACCTATTCTATTTTACGTCGTTAGTATTGCCTTTCATGTGTTTACTAACTACACCTAGAATTGCTGTTAAGTTAACCTTTTTACTTCGCTTGGTGAAAAGAAGTGACACAAGAGTTGCACCGGTCTATATAGACTAGCTGATTCGATATTTATTCAATAAAAGTTTTCTCTACGTAAAAAAAAGTGTTAAATGGAGAAACGAATTTGTTCTATGTCAACATTCAAATCTTTCTCAACCAGAACAAATGAGTTACGTGGAACTAAATGCCATTCAGCTGCTTTGTAAGTGCTTGGTTCACTTGCGACAATAACATGTTTTCCGTGTTCGTGTGTCCCTCGCTTGGTTTTCTTCTGAACTTGTTCACCATCTGGATGATCAGGATATTTTCGATTCAGAGTCGGTCCAGCCGTCGTTGAATAATACAATGAAGGTGGTTCGAACTCATCCATTGACGAATAACGAGTTGCAAGTAATTGATAACTATCCGTAACAGCAAAATTGAGGAAACTATGCGGAACGTCGATGTTCATGTCTTGCACCAATGTCACCAGATCTCGAATAGTATTTACCATTGCTTTTTTCAGATTTTCCATCGAATATTCGATACTCCAATCATCGCCTAAATGAGTAAAGAACAGAGCGGCAACGTGTTCTGTGTCGGTCGTTCCAAAAATGTTCTCATAGGAAGCAATCGATAGTTTTTTCAATAATGGGATTTTAATTTTCGAAAAATTTCCGACGAAACCATTGTGCATGAACATGTATCGACCGAAAATGAATGGATGGTTGTTGGTTTCCACAGTTGCCGAACGACTTGAGCCAGCACGAAGGTGTGCAAATACACATGTGGTCGATGTGTGAGCACAGAGAGACAACAGATTGAGGTCATTCAGCGGTGGACGAGTGTTTCTATAAACACAAGGAAGGTTGATGTGATTTTCGTTGAATTCAGCAGCGACACCTGTGTAATAACCGACACCAAATCCGTCGACATTAGTAAAATGGTTTGGACCTTGGGTATCCGATGCTTCACCCGAACTGATTGTATTTCGACCGAGATCTGGATTGTAAGTTATATGGAGATTTGGAAGAAAATGCACATCGATTTGTTTAACGATCGAATGCTTCGGTTTGATTAGAACATCTTCCAGAAGAGTTGGTTCGACACCAATATACGCAAACCAACGACACATTTTCCTCTCTATTTCAGTTTAATCGAACGTACGTATCTATAAATACCTCGTTGTTCTCTTTCCTTTTCTTTGACCACTACCATTGCAATATATTAATGGCAAGTAAATAAAATTCGAACTTGGGGAGATATAAAGACAAGCACAATGGTGACAATGTTCATGATCAAGCTGAAAACGAGCCATTGAAGAGATGATAACCACCATGGTAAATATCCCGTGAAAACGTATATGAAATAACCAGTCACTGCTGGTATTGAGATCATTGTTAATAAACCAAAAAGAACACAAAGTCGTGATATAACGATCAAATCTCGTCGTGCAGTGACTTGCTGGATACGCGCCACTGTAAAAACTGTGGAGTGCCTGTCCTGTTTGATCTTTCTTAATGTATAAAAATAACATCCAATTGTGACGTTTATCGGAATGTAATAAGCTAAGATACCATTGAGAATAATATTCTTCCATTTCGTGTAATCTATTTGGCAGAGATAATCACCTTGTGAATATATGTAATCACCTAGAAAAAGACCGGGAATCATGATGAGAAAGCAAAAGATCCATTGTAACAGAATTAACAATTCATAAAACCGCAAAGACAAGAAACGTTGTTTTGTATGGTATAGAATTCGACATAAACGATACAAAGATTGCAGCATTATTGAATAATAAATTGTACAGTTCGATGTCCATAAAAAATAAGCACGAATTTGGCAGAGAATTCCATCATCTAACGTGTCAAGTGAGAACAGATGTCCTGGTAAAATACGGATGTATTCTTTAAGTAGCAAAACACACGATAAAATTATGGATAAATACATGTTTGCGATAAGGAGAAATGGGATCCTATTAGAAGAATTTCGAGTTTTCTTCAAATGGTAGACAATAAATGTGAAAACTATGATTGAGATGCCAATACTTATTGAATTCAAAACAATAATTGAATAATCTATTACGAGATTTTCTAGTCGATGCATTGATGCATTCGTCATCGCACTATTCGGGTAAATTCACGATGAAAAATAAGATATCAACGCGCTTTGATGAAAATTTATTAGATGTAAAATTAGCTGTGAGCATAGTTAATGTGGAAAAACGTTGATGATAAAGAATAAAATTTTTATGAGCACATAGAAAGCGCTTGATGATATATTTTATTAAATTTTAACATGATCATAAGTGTTTTTTAATTGCCAGTAAAATGAAAGGAAGAACCATGGTTTTTCTTGTTAATTATATATGCACATTGATGTGTGAGATAGAACGTTTAGCGATATTTTATTTAACTTTCTATTCGACCTATTTATTAAAAAGTATGTCAAAGTTACATACAGCTGCTCTATTCTTGATTTTTAACATCGTAATATGAGCTGCACTGACGATATTAGTAATCGCTTACCAGCACAATCCATTGTAGCTTTCGACATGCTGGCATACGTAGTTTCATTCGAAAGGAGAACGCTTTTCGATCGATGATTTGGTTGAGCAGAAAATGTTTTTCTTTCGTTAAAAGCTTTTCAGTGTACACTTGAGAAGACATTTTTTTTCTAAACAAACGATCGAATAAAAAATTTTGTGTTGTCAATTAAGAAATGCACGGCTGTTCTTCTAACGATATTTCTTTGCCATTAGTAAGATTGATTGCACCTGAACTCGTTGCATCAAATGGAGATAGAACTTTTGATAAGCAACACTATCCTGGCAATCGTATGATTGCCAATTGGAGAAATCGATTTCTAGGTAAACGCGAAGCTTTAGAAGGAAACGAATGGCGTGTAGCAGAAGCCGCTTTGAAAGGCATCATGGAAGTCGGAAAAGAAGAACGCTGCGATCAGAAAGTGTTAGCTTCCATTGAAGAAGAATTCAATTAAGTTAAAGAATGTTCACGGGACGAAATTACTAGTTATTGTGTCCGTCTCTATACGCGCAGTGTTTTTGTTAATCGGGTGACAAATCAAGCGCTTCGTAACAATGATGAAAGTAAAGCGGAAGCATTGGTACCCTTTTGTTACTTACTGAGACAACATATTTACTCACCTTCGTTACCTGTGTACCGCGGAACAATGTTTCGAGGTTGTCAATTAGAGACATCTATGATTGATCAGTATCGAGAAATGGTTGGGAGAGAAACTGTAAGTTGGCTCGGTTTTACTTCGACGAGCAAATCTCTGAAAATCGCAAAAGCATTCGGCTGTAATACAATTTTCGTTATTGATCTAAGCGAATTTACTGAACGATTTCGCTATGGTCGACCGGTGGATATATCAAGTATGAGTATGTTTCCGGATGAAGATGAAGTTCTTCTCCCTGCTGGGTTTGGATTCACAGTGAAGAAAGTTGAACAGAATCTGAATGATAATCTCACTTACATTGACATTTGTGGTATAGCATGTTGACTACAAGTCTTCAAAAGATGATCTACTTGAATGTAGACATATCGTATATTTATAATGTGCAAAAGAAAAACATCAGAAATACTAAACAAAATCTTGACCGAGTTCAATTTGTTTTTCCGGAAGACCGGCAAGCAATTCTTCCGCATCCTTTTCTGTCAGTTCCATACATTCTTTGAGCGAAAGAAGTTTATGCGAATAAGCCGATGGATGGTCCGATAGAGATTCATCTAGAGAGTGCGCTTTGTAATTCATCATCGACTGTGTGCGTGAAGTCCCCATATCTTTTGATTTCAGCAATTTCACCAGTGTATTTCCTATACGAAAAAAGGACTACTGACTGTCATACTTCAAACAAAACTCGTTTTTACGAACCAACAATAAAACCATTTTTAGTTGGCATTTGACCCACTCCACCTTTTCGTCCAAGTGTAACAAACATGGCTGGATATTGCCCAGGTTGATATTCTTTAGGATAGGGCTTGTTTCTTTCAATGATAGGAATCAAAGATGCGACATATTCCCCTTGATTGCCGGCATAGTAACCCATTTTCGATTCCTTGTTACTTATGTCACCAATGGCGAAAATATTTGTGTGTCCTTCGACTTGCAAATAACCATTGACTTTGAGTCGACCACTTTGAGTATCAACTTTGTCTGCCAAGTCACTCATCATCAAACTCTTGTTGTTCACTCGTGCTCCAGTACAAATAAAGGTTAGATCAGCTGTTACTGATTGTTTGTTGTTTTCAGTAACATACGTTTGCTTACCACGGATATAATTTACCGGTGGTTTTGCATTATCGGTACTTGCTACTTTGATCCGATCATTCAGCAGGATTTTAACCCCCATATGTTGAAGTTGTCTTTGAAGATTAGTATACATTTCTTCTCGGAATACGTTCGGTTGAAGCAAGGTGGAACCACCGTGTACGAGAGTAATCTCTTTGTTTGGAAAATCCGTCGCTATTTCACCACAAAGTTCGATTCCAACAGGACCACCACCGATAACAAGGATTTGCTGTGCTTTGTAGATCTCTTCTCGCATGGTACTGTACCGTGAAAGTGCTTGATTACGTTGAGGATCAGCTACTTTGCCGGGAAATGCATAGGAAGATCCAGTAGCAATGACCAAATAATTAAAATGAATGGGTTGATCGTATCCGTGAACAAAGACACCATTCGAAGAAATGGATACGACTTCCGCGTGTACAACACAACCTAAAAGATGAAATCGAATGAGAACAAGAGAAATGCACATCTTCTGCAATTCGAACCATTAGTGAGTACCCGATCGTATGGGATCATAATCTGATTTGCATAATTTTTCTCTACACATGCACGTAATGTAGCGATATTGTGTAGGAAATACGATTTACGATCGATAAGTACCACAAAAAATTGACCACTTTTGTCGAGCGATTGAGCACATTTAACACCACCTCAAAAGAAAAATAAATCAGCATTATATTCTTTGATCTCAGCTTTTGAATAAATTTATTCTACATACCATACCCACCCCCAACGACGACCACAACAGGCTTTTTAGTCACGTTTTCTTTAGAACCGGTTACTCCCATTTTTTATATTTAGAAGTCTTTTTTACACCGATGCTCGATTTATATAGACGAGTAATTTCTTTTTTTGCTCTGTCATATTCTATAGAAGAAGATTGACTTAAGTGCGTTTTCTTCTTTCACCTTGAACGAGACTAGTTTTGTTCTGCATTTCATGGTGACGATGCAAATTTTTTTTTCTCTTTCTCATATACTTTGGGGACGGGGGCATTCGTCATCAAGCGGTAGCGATACTTCGCATGAATCAAATGCGTACTTTGCTCGTATCTGCAAATAAAGAAAGTAGGTGCTTGTGCTTGTAGATGGCAGTAAACATCTTAGATTGAAGACATTAAAGTATGTCAAAAACGATATAATAAACATTATTTTATCCAACTACATGTGATCGAAATGAATTAGAAAGGTATTGTATGTCAGTAACATACCACAACAACGTATATGCATGTGTCGTGGTAGATTCATATTAACGACACAGAAGAACGTCGATTGCAAAAAGAAGTCATTCTTTGCGTATCAGACGAAACAGATAATCATTGCGGCACAATTATTAGAGAATTGCGAGAGCATCGCACAATTAGTTACGGCTATGCATATTGAAGTCCTCCGCTAGAGGATGAAAGAAAGAAATGAAAGCAAAATCTTACTGTTGTCAGTCTGTGTTCAACTTATCGATTGTAGAAATGCAAAAGAAGAAGAAAAATACGTTGTTACAAACTACGTCATCATGACCTATGTTAGTTTCTTTCATTTCAAGTAGATCAGATCGTTGAAATATGAC